GGGAAAAAAAAAAAAAAAAAAAAAAAAAAAAAAAAAAAAGAGAAGAGAATTAAAAAAAAAAAAAAAACCCAAAAAACAAATCAAGGAGGAAAATACCAGGCTGGAAGGAAGCAAGCGCCCCGGGCCCAGTGGGGAGCGGCCCGTGTCCTTGTTTCATAAGGCTCCCGCAGGCAGCGGGAAGCTGGGTCAGCTGGGACGGATGCTCTGCCCTTTGCCACCCCTAGGTGGGAGGGGTGGCTTTACCCCTCCGGGAGGGATCGGGTGGATGGGGTCCTTGTCCCTGGAGCCAGCTGTTTTTTAGGGGCTGAGGAGAAGAGGAGGGTGATGGAGGGAAGTGTGGCAGCTCCTGTGACCTTGCGGCACCTGTGTGGCTCTGTCTGCCGGTGCAGCAGGGACAGCAGGGCACACGGCCACTGCAGTGGCTCCTGGCAGCAAAGACCTGGGCCTTCGCAGGGCGGGGATCGCTGCTTGTGGCTCAGGGCACCCGGGCTCACCCTGTGGGGCATCAAAGCAGCGGTGTTCCTGTGGGGCGAGTTTGCTCTGGCAGGGCATGCTCCACCAGTTCCTGAGGTCCTGCTTTTCCGTTGCCAATATCCATCTCCAACATCAGGTCCCTTTTTCCAAATCCTCAAGCCCTTTGCCTTCCACCCTTTGCCCCAAGCATTAGCTGGACTCCCTGATGTCCCCTGGCCACCCCATCTCCCCCCTCCCTCCCAGGCTGGCCAAACCCCCACATCCCCAGGGCTGTGCTGCCCAGGGCAGTGGGGTTCTTCACATCCATCATGCTTCGGAACTTTGTAGGTGGCTTCCCACCTCCCAGGGGCTGCTTTGCAGGCGCCTGTGATCTCAGGGCTGCCTGGGGTGATGACTGACTCACCACAGAGCTCTCCCCGCACCGCACCGGCCTCTTCTCTCCCCTGCTTTCTAATCCCAGGACACCTGCGCTGCAGCAGCTGGATCCCAGCACACGGCTCCCCTGGCTGGGCAGAGCTGGGGAGGGGACCGGAGTGGGGACAAGGTGTCTTTGATGCTGCAGAGAAGGGGTGCAGGGCAGAGCCATTCCCCGCCAAACACATCTCACGTTCCCCAGCGAGGGACCAGGCTCTGAGCATCCCGGGGCTGAAAGACTGCAGCTTGCTCTCCCTTCACCAGTGTCCGTGTCCCCCCTGCCCCCCGATTTTGGGAACATAGCTTTGTGAAATGGCACACCAGTAATACCAGCACAGCCAGGGTGAGACTCCCAGCACAGCCTGGCCACCGAGCCCGGCAAGCCACAGTACCCGGTGCTGTTTGGTTCTGCAGAGAGATCCTGTCTGAGCTTGGGACCTTGGGACGTTCAGGGGAAAACAAAAAAGGATCCCTCGATCGTGGTGGGTCTGCAGACGGCATGGTCAGGGGTGCTGTAGGGATGCTTTGGGCTGCAGGCAGCGTGCTGTGGGTGCAGGCAACTCCAGGGCACAGGCTTCCTGGTCGCAGGAGCTCATTGCCTCCTGGGGCCAGCTGGCTCCCAATGCAATACCAACCTTCAAGCTCTGCTCTGTGGCTTGCCTCGCTGGGTGTCTGGGAGCCACAGGCAAAACGCCAGGGTGCCTGTGGTTACAAAAACGGTGTCCCCATGCTTCCCTAACTGGGAACCAGCTGCTGGGCAGCCAGCCTAACAACCCTACTGCTGGGCTCAGAGAGTGTGCAGGACACCTCCTCTCCCCACGGCCGCTGCTGAGCCTCCAGAGCCAGTTGCCAGCAAGGGCTTAGCTCCCCAGCCAAGATCTAGGCATCCCAGACCTCTCCTCTTCCACGAGCCTGAGTGCAGCCTCCCTGATCCACAGATGGGATCTATCCCAGTCCCACCGAATAGTCATGTTTCCTCACGTGGAGGGACTATCTAAGCCTGCTGAGCTGCTCCAGCCTTGCATGTTCTGGTGTATGGCCCCCTACACCGTGAGGGACACCTCCACCCTGCAGGACATGGCACACAGGGCTGGGCTGAAATGGGAAGGTTCAAGTGCTTCATCCAAGAGAGAGGAATGATCATCAGGGTAGAGGAGCCCAGGCAGAGGATGGAGGTGCATTTCTAGCAGAGGGGACCATATTTTCCCAATACTCTCCTATCATCTCCCTGCAGAAGCAAATCACTAAGGGAATTCCAAAACTAAAAAAGAAATGGCCATTTCTTTCACATGCATGTCATGAAAAGGGCAGTGAAGGCTTCTAAAGACGGCAGCAAGCCCATGCTGACAAAACCAGGTGGAACTTAGTCCAGTTTCATCAAGTATTTTGGCCCAAGCTCTAGAGATTCCTCCATCCCTGAGGGTCTTTGCTGCAGAGGGGACCACCAGCCTGGTTGCTCTGCTACAGCCATGCGGTTTTCCAGTGTTTTTCTCTAAGTTTGAACTTCCCAGTCCAAGGAGCATGAGAGCTTCCCAGCTCCTTCCAGCAAACCAAAAGTAAATCTCACTTCTTGACCCTGCAGTTGTGGAGAGCGATGGGAAAATCTGACCTGAGTGTGACCACTGAAAAGGCCATAGAGAGACCAGAGCTGGCCCAATCGGTTTGCACTTCTGCCAGGTCTGAAGCCAGATGTGTCGTTGTCCAGATGTGGATACCCCAGGCTGGTGCTCTGTCAGGCCCTGGCCTTGTGCCCATCACCAGACACAGAGTGGAAGGGCCAAGGGGACAGTGGATTCCCTCCAGCACAGCAGGTCGCTCCGGTCCTTTATCCTCTCACCCAAAGCCCCAGCTCATCTCCTGCTTCTGGAAAGCTCCAGCAAGGGTGGGGAAGGTCTCTGGGGGTGGCAGGGGGGGAGTGGGGGGGCTGGGACTTTCCCCAGGAGATCACAGGAGGAACTTTGGCTGGAGGGTGGGGGGAACCGGTGAGGAGTTGCTACATCATGCCCCAATGAGCCGTGAGTAACTCCTCTGGTATTTCTTCCCCGCGCAGAACAGTCATCAGAGCCAGATCCTGCCCGGGGGAATCGCTACACACGGGAACGCCCAGCCCCATCCAAATTCCATTTCTGCTCCCAGCAGAGCTGACGTGAAGCAGAGCCACCAGGGGATGGGTCCCTGGTGACCCCGTCCCATCCCACCAACTGGGGTGGCGTGAGCATGGCCATGGCAGTGGCTGGCAGTGCTGGCTGGCAGAGCCTGGTGGGCTGCTGACACACAAAAGCACCCAGATGCACCTGGGCTACTGGAAGTCACCAGAGACCAAAGCCTCTTTGCATTTGCTGGTCCAAGGGGAGCAGAGGGCAGACCCTTCCTTGCCTTGGTCTGGGCGACTGGCCTCCATGCTTCCTCTGGTTGAGAAGCAGGTGGCCATGGCTTAAGACCCTTCCCGAGAGCCTGGCTGGCACCGTGCTGCAACCTGAGCTGCAGAGAGGTGCTCCGAGGCTTTCCTGAAGTTCAGCCCCAACATGTCATGCTTGGCACCAGCACTTGTGCAACCCCCCGAAAAAGAAAAAAAGAGTTTGGCCCTAACTGACCTGCTTGGCAAGGCAAAGTACCTACAGCAAGGCAGCAGCTGGCTCAGGAGAGGAGCCTGGGACTCCTGCGCTCCCCCTGCCAGGCCCAGGTCCTGCCCACCACCTCTGGCACAGCATCCTGGTGGCATTGCCCTCCATGATGAGGGGTGGGCCACCTACCTGGTGAGGAGGCTTGTAGCCACCACTGTGTTGAGCTTGTTGACTGACCAGACATGCCAGCAGCAGCCTGACTCCTCAGGAGCGCCCCTGCTGCCTGGGTGGACTGTGGCCTACTTGCTCAGCTGGAGTTACACCATCCCTTGGTGCTCCACGTCTGGGTGCCCCTGGACATGGGACTGCCACACACCTGCAGAAGGGCCAGCAGTGTCTGGAAATGGGTGGGATGTGGAGATGGAGAACAGAGGGAGGGCTTGGGCTGAAGGCTGTGATGGAGCCAGGGCAGCTCCAAGGGCTGGGGTAGGAAGAGTTCCCAGGGGGAGGCTGGATAAGGGATGGGGAGGGTAGGGGCTGAGCAAGCTGGGAGCAGAGTTTGGGGTGCACTGAGCCCCTTAGGCAGAAGATCTGAGCAGAGGCAGTGGGTGCAGAGGAGCAGGGTGGGCAGGCACCAGAGTGATTGCAGGCACGGGAGACGTGAGGAAGGAGGCTGATAGTGCATCTGGAAAGGGGGTGATGTAGAGGTTCTCCACAGCCCAAACCCTGATGGCTGAGTTCCCCACCAAGCAGATGGGTGCCAAGTCTCCCCAGGGAGCCTAAGGACTCAGAAGAAATGCTCTAACCATTAGACCACCTCGCTCGTGATGTGCCCCCTGCTGCAATGGCCACGGGTAGGTTTGAACCCAAATATTCTTTACTCTCTCAGTCCTGCATGTGGTCCCCTACCCCAGGAAACACCAAGGCCTCTCAGGGAGCATGTGAGGGACAGGAGTCCCTGGCACAGGTCTATGACCCATGAGAATAGGGCACCCACCGCTGTCCTTTATCCCTTGACCAGAGACATCTCTCAGTGAGTGCCCAGGTCTGGCTGCTGCATGAATGGGTGCCTTTTCTCTGTCCCCCAGCTGGAGCTGAAGAAGAGGAAGGTGGGTGGCAGCAACAGGGAGGGACATCAGGGTCCACCAGCAATTCCAGCTCGTTGCTTCCGTGAGGCAGATGGAGGAGGTAAGAGGATGCCTGGCTGTGACAGCTCAGGGACACAGCCAAGGAGAGGGGTGACCTCGGAAGCAGCCTGGTGGGAACACCAGGATGGACGGAAGAAAGGGGGAAAAGCTTTTTGGAAATGGACAGAGAACACTTGGGGGAAATTTCTGCCACCCCTCGCCGTCGCCCCGTGGCAATGGGAGGTTTTTGGCTGGGGAAGGAGATGACAGAGGGGCAGAGCCAGCGTGGGGGCAGGACGCCAGCGCAGGGGAGGTGGGAGCAGAAGGCTGGGGGTTGGAGGATGAAAGCGCAGGGTCCTGGGGAAGGTGGGGGGGGGTGTGACAGGAGGGGTGCAGAGGCAGCCAGCACAGCCAGGTGCAGTGGGAAGGGCTTGGGGGAAGGCAGGGAAAAGAGGCCAAGTGCAAAGAGAGCAAAGGCAGCGGAGGAAAAGAGAGCGTGGCCAGAGAGGCAGACATGAAAGGGGGAGTGAGGCAGGGGAGAGATGAAAGGGCCACGGCGCGGGTGCTCCTGCCTCCTCCCCAGGCTCCCGGGGCTCTGTAATCCCCGGGGAGCTGGCTCCTCTCATGTGGTGGCCCGCAGCTGTGTGCGGTCGGCTCAACCCCACCGCTCCGCACTGGGACTTTCCAGGAGGGGGAGAAACCCAACACAAAACACATGACTTAACCAGCGCCTGCCAGGCCCCGGCACACGCGGGGTCCGGGGGCACCCCGGTACGCGGCACGCCCCGGGATGCTGCAACCCACAGGGGACAAGGAAAGGCACGGTCCCCTCTGCTTTGGGGAGAGGTGGCCCAGAGCAGGGTGGAAGGGGTATGAGCCCGGCCGGGTGATGGGCAGAGCTCCAAGGTGGTTACACACACACACGCAAAAGCCGGGATGAGCCTGGCAGAACCTGGATCAAACAGCACTGCCGCCGGCCCCTTAGGGGCATCCCCTGAGGACACAAAGGTCAGGGGTGCAGGAGCCATATGGGTTCGGTCCCTCTCCCCTGCTTCCCCTCTCGAGTGCCATAGCTCCGGTTCCTGCCTGCTGGGCTTGGCTCTGGGTACCAGGGATGCAGCAGGACTTGGCAGGCGAAGTTGGCACCCATCCTGATGGGTCACTGGGTCACTTATTTTACTGCTCAAAAGCAAACCAAGAACCCAGGCCACAGCAGATATTGAAACGGTACTTCCAAGGCATTTGTGACTTGGGATATCTCTGTTCTCCATGCCCAGCTCCAGCCACCAGAGGAGGGCTCTTTCCCATAGCAGGTGACCTTGCTGCTGGGCAGTCTCCTGTTCGCCACTGCTGACTGCAGCGATGCTGGGCTCTGCAGGGATGCTGGGCTCTCTTCTCATCTTTGGGGCAGGTGGGGCAGCAGAGATGGTACCCATGGGGGGTCCTCCATATATCACCCTTCCTCCTCGTCTCAGTTTTGCCTGTACCAACCTTCTCTTGTCTGCCTATGCGAACCTGGTGGGCTCAGCTAGAAGCAACTCTGACTGAGCTTGGGCAGCACCAGAAGCTGCCTTTGTCCTCCTGTCTCAGGGCTTTTCCTCTCCCCAACCCCACCTCCAAGACAAAAGAGGACCAGCGCTTGGCAGCATGGCCAGGGAGCTTCTCTGAGTCCCTGGTGAGAGTATCACTCTGTAAGGCCTTCCCCTTCCAAAGGCTCTCATGGAGCAGGGTTGTGCCAGCTCCACAAGTATCACCCCTCTGGGGAGATTCCATCTAACTCCATCTTTTTGGCTACATCTGGAAGTGGTCTGACTTCCTCCAGAATACCCCATCCTCCCTGCAGCCCCATCCAACCTCAGCAAGGAGCTGAAAGGGGACTCTCTGCGGGGCAAGGAAATCCCAGCCTTAATGCACTGTCCCTGCCCCTGCCACATCTGGCTCCCGCCCTGCACTGGTCAGAGGAGGTCACACCACCCTCAGCCACATGCACGTGAAAGAAGGGACACATCCCAGTGTGCTCCCCACGCCTGCACAGCAGCCCTGAAATTGCTCCCGGGAACATCTCCCCATGCCGGCCAGGAACACCGTCTCCGTGCCTGCAGTGGACTGTCACTGAAGGGACTGAGCTGAAGAGGTGGTTGAGGGTGCTGCGGTGGGGAAGTGCACTTGGGGAGCCGGGGGTGGCCATGTGCAGCCCCCCTATCCCTCCCGCTACAAGCCAGCCCTCCCCAGAGGAATGCTCCAGCACGGCTGCAGCTGCAGGGAGGGGAGGCGCTTTGCCGAGCGCCGTGGCATGAAGGCATGATAGGGCACGCTCCGCCGGACCATGAATACCTGTCCCAGGCGGTTAGAGGCACCCAAGGCGTGTACGGGTGGCGCAGGAGCACACGCCTCGTCAAGCCTGGGCGGTGGTGCTCCATCAGGAGAGGAGGCTCTTTCCAGTTTGCCCTCCCACTTGTGCTGGTGAACAGTGAGCCCCCCCCCCCCCGGCAGCGACCCGCTTCCCCATCACACCCTGCACGTAGCGCACGGGTCTTGCTGGGGGGGAATACCCCTTTTCACCCTGGAAAAGGGGGTGTGAGTGGGCCTGGCTTGAGGCTGGGGGTGGGCTGGGTGGCCCTGCTGGGTCCCTCCAGCCTTAGCATCACTGCTTGAATGAATTACCAAGGGAGCTGCTGAGAGAGGATCAGAAATCAGGAGATGAGCAAGGCAGTGGAAGAAGAAAGAGAAGCACGAGTAATGGTGCCTGATGACTTGCTCTCTTTTCCTGCTTGCATAGACATGGAGACCGTGCCTGTCACATGCATGGGGACACGTCCGTGTGAGCCTCATCTCTGCTGCTCACACACAACTCCCTGTGCCCCTGCTGCTGCAGGATCCTATTGCTCGGGACAGGCTGCACGCCTCTGCCGTCCTGTTGATCCCACTGCCTGCACCAGACCAGGAGCATGTGTCATCCCAAGAGGCTCCCAGACCCTTTACTCCCTCAGTCCAGGTACCAATGCTCATATCCTTGGGGGCATCCTAAAGGGCTGACTCCAAGTAGAGAAGGGGGAAAAAACCCAAAGCCAAAGTCTCCAGCTGTTTGCAACAGCTGCCTAATAATAAGGAGCAATAAGGATGCACCGCACCATGACACTGCTAGTGCAAGTCCTCTGCCATGACCAGCTGGGGTAAATACCTGCTGGAGAAAGGAGCTTTTGCTGAGTGACATCTCGGAGCAAAGCCAGGTCTGGACTGGCGTTGGTAGCCCTGTGCTGGTTAAAGGTGCACTCCAGACCTCCTGGGAGCCAAGGGCTGGGAGTTCACGCTCTGTACATTTGGGCTAGCAAATGATGCACGTTTCCAGCAGCCATGCTGGAATGCTGAAGTGCTTTTAGCCAGGACCGAGGAGTCTGAAATGCTGGATGTGTTTGAGCCAGGTGGGTTGGTAACCTTTGAGAACACTTGTGGAGGCAGTGACAGGAGAGGTGCAAAATCAGGAAAAGACTTCTGCCACGTTCCTCCACATGTAGGGCCTGGACCAAGCCCAGGGTGGCTGTGAAGTGGAAGGGGGCAGCGCTGTTGTTCCCCCCTCACATCCCCCCGCCCTGCACACGCTGCCTGCCCAGCCTCACAAGGAGAAGCAGCCTGTGCCGTCATGGTGTGTCATGCTGACTGCTCATGGGTGCCGAAGCCTGCGGTGGGATGGAGAGTCCTGGACTGGCTTTGATGTGGCTGCCTGCTAAAACTTCTCCTGCATGGTCCCTGGGCAGCAGCCCTGGCTGTGGGGCAGATATCCCAGATACTGCAGGGGCTCCCCTTCAGGTGGTGTTGGTTGGGCTGAGAGGAACCTGGCAGCAACGGAAAACCCAAGATGTGCTGAACGATAAGCAATCTTTCCCTGGAAGCACTTTGCAGCCGACAGCTTGGCCCTGCAACCTGCCTGTAAGATGGATGCTGTCAGCTCCGGTGCCAGTGCATAAGAGCTCCCTGTGGATAACGCAGCAAGAAGCAGCCAGGTTGGGAATAGGAGCCAGAAGTCCTGTTCCTGGTGCCACTTCCATGTCACATGTCACCCAGAGTGAGAGGGAGCCTGGTCCTTGTGCTCTCTCTGTAGCCTGGTGCTGCTGCTGGAGGCAGCCGGAGGAGATGCCTTGAAGAGACGTCCCCGGAACCATCTCAGGATGTGAATCCCCTGCGGCGGGTAAGCCCTGTGGCGAAGCACAGTGCTAAATCAAGGCTGAACGTGGGCAGGGATGTGAGGCACTTTTGTCGCTTGACTTGGGGACCAGAAACCGGAGAGGGGATGAGAGAGGAGGTTTGTCCCTGCTCAGCCCATGCACACTTCATGGGATGCTCAGGCCGCCAGCAGAGTTGCAGCCGCAATCAGTCTGTGGCAGCTGTGGTTCCCGGAGCCTCCTGACTCCCCATCCCTGCTGCAGGCTTCCCGCTGCCGCAGTCACAGTGCTTTAGGATTTGGGGATTCAGCTCCATCCCTGCCCTTCTGGGGTGATGCCCCTTCCCACCAGGCACTTTTCTCCCCTGTGCCACTGCAAAGCCCAGGGCTGGCCTGGCCCCACGCTCACCGGGGACCACAGCATCCCTCGGCCAGGCAGCCAGGCTTGGTGGGAGCCGGGCTCTCCAGCTGCCGGCAGAGCTGCCCTCCCTCACCAGCTGCCCCACACTAAGGCTGCAAACAAACAAACAAACACCCCAGCACCAAGCCCTGGCAGCTCAGACCGTAATTACCAGTGAGGCAGCTGGCGATCGGCACTTGAAACCCGGTGTGTAAACATGGCTTTCTCCTCTGCCACTCAGGCAAAAGCAACCTGCTTCAGGGGAGCTGCAATTTCAGGAGGGGGTCCACGTTGTTGCGGTGAGGGCTGTGGCCGGAGACTTTCATCTCGGCCTTTTGATGCAGGGCAGGAATAATAGATGGTGGCTGGCAACACCCCACCTCGCTGCACCGCCTGCTCCGGGCCATTTTCTACCTCGTGGTGGGTAGCTGAGTCTCCTTGCCCTTCCCAGCCCCTGGGCCAGCTGCTGGCTCCCTCTCCCTTGCCAGGATGGGTGAGGGCACAGGGAACCTCAAAGAGGCTCCAGGGCTGGCATCAACCATCCAGGAGCAAAAAGAGCCATCTTGTGCCCAGAAGGGCTGGCAGCCGGAGGCATGAAGGGATGGCTGGGACACATCACCACCCTGGGCCACATCACCATCCATCTTGTTCCCTCACATTGCCACTTCCAGAACTGGGGCTGCTCCAGAGCCAACCGACCAAGAGCGAGTGCTCAGATACCTCGGTGATGGGCACCCTTCAAGACCAATCAAGGAGGTGTGGCTGTCCCGCACAAGAAGAGGTGACCATAAGATCCCCGGTGATGTCACCTCCTGCAGACTGAGCCCAGACTTTCACGTGCGTGATGTCCCACTCCATGCACAAGGACTCTACATCCCTGCAGTGTCCCCTGGTCCTGTCCCCTGCTCCTATCCCTCAAGCTCTACTCAGAGGTCCCTTGGGTACCACTGAAGTGGAGAGGAGGTGTGTGGGGAGAGGAAGGCAGGGGCTGGAGAGGCTGCACAGGTGGAAAAGGATTAGGAGAGGTGATGGAGTGAAGGAGGATTGTCCCAGTTAGGAGAGGTGGGTGCAGGAGACCCTTGCTCCCGGCCTCTCCTCCCAGACCCTCCAGTGCTCCCCGATACACAGCCCCGAGCGCGGATGCTCCCGAGCTTTGGGCCCCTCTGCCCAAGTGCTGTCTCACCGTCACCGTGCACCTCCTCGGGTCCCCTCCATGCCCCGCTCCCGCTGCTCGCCCAGCCCAGTGTCTCCAGAAGCCTCTCGCGCCGAGCCCGGTACAGCTGGGTCCTGCTGGGGAAGGAGGTGGCGCGTGTCCTGCCGGTGTGGGGAGGAGTGCCGCTCTCTCCCGTGGCGCCAGCACGGCATCCGTGCAGGGAGAGGGAGGGACGGGACAGCCCGCGCTGCCGCAGTCACCCCACGGCAATGCCAAGCTGAGGAGTCCGGCGTCGTGGCGTGCCAGATGGGCAAGGCTCCGGGCACGGCTTTTCCAGGACACGCAGTGGCAATGCTTGGAGAGAAGCTTGGTTTTGTGCGAGCAATTCCTGTTGGCCGTAATGCCCAGATACCACGTGCTGAGCTGTGCATGCCGGCTGCGAGGGGACACTGCTGGGCACACAGGTGGTGGCTTCCAGGAACCTCAGGCTGACCCTCTGCACAGTGCCAGGCTGTTCACCCAGGACAGGAACGCCATAGCTGTGTCAGACTATCTCAGCACACCCCGGCAAGGGCACTAACCTGTGTTGGCATCATTACTGGAGACATTGGACACAACATGCTGCCTTATGCCCCTGTGGTTTGATGCCCTCCTACATCCAGAGCCAGGGTGTTAAATCCACTGCTCTGGACCACTTCCAGCTCAGGTAACTGCACCTGCCAGAACCCCTTCCCTGCAATTTGAGAGCAAGGCACCATCTTTCCATTGCTGGGCTGGGAGAAGGGATGCTGTTGCCTCCTGAGGGTGCTCGGCCGGTGCCTGGCGTGAGCCCTGGCAGGTCCAGGGGAGGTGCTGGCTGCCACACTGCCAGGTGCTGCACAGAGGATGCGCATGGTCCGACTCCCCGCTGACGTAACTCCTGGGAGGCAGCCGGGAGTTGCCAGCGGGGAATTGGCCCGCATCACTTGGAGCACTTGGGGAGCCGTGCGGAGAGGAGGTAATTGTTAAATGTGGGCTGAGATAGGCTGAGAGGGGAGGGCAGGAGGCCAGGGAGGTGGCAGACACCTCACCAGGGCTGGCTTGGTTTATACAAGTTGGGCTTTGTTCAGTATCTCCCCGGGGTTTCGTGGCTGGGAGGTACCACCCTGTGCTGCTCTGATGACAGGGAGCCGGGCGGCTGCTTTGAGGAGCCTTGCAAAAACTTCTGCAGCAGCCGTGCCCCAGCAGGATGCAGCGGCGAGGGGAAGGGGGCACGGCAGGGCTGCCTCAGATCTATCCCAAAAGCTGGTGCCAAACCCCCTGAGAAACAGCGGCCTCAAAAACTCCTTGGGACAGCAGCACGGGGTGCGGGGAGTAAGGAGGGGGTGAAGCTTCCTTATCTGAACTGGGGGATGGTGGTCACAGCCTGGTTGTGTCATGGGCAGCCGCTGTCTGGAAGCCAGGCTGAGGGCAACAGCAGTGGGCTGGAGGCTATATCTCGATCATGGTCCTGACTACCAGCAAAAACTTTACCTGAGGCAGAAGTTTGGGTCCACCTTGGCTTCACAGCCAGGGCACAGGGCTTCTGAGAGCTGACAGCATCTGCTGGGACAGCCTGCAGTCCCCATGGTCCCCTGGAAGAACACCAGGCAGGTGAGAGATGCCTCTGGTATGGCAGGAGACAGGTCCTTGCTGCTGGGATGAGATCCTTTAGCCTTCAAGCCTCCACTATAGGTGGATAGCCCGTGCCCACTATAGGTGATGTCCTGATGGTGAAGAGTGCTGGGACATGACCCCTCCCTGCCAGGGGAATTTTGCTGCCAGCAGTGCTACCAGCCAAGAAGGGAAGACCCATCACTGACTTGGACAAACAGATCAGGTCTCTCTTGTGCCAAATCTCCTTGGCACTGGGGTCTTGCAGACACCTGGATTAGGCACAACTGGTCCCCATGGGCAGCCTTGGCTTCCCCACGCGTGTCCCAGCCGGGTCTGTGGGGTGCCAACAGTGCAGAGCTGGCTCCTGGGCACACGTAGCCCTTTCCAGCGTCTCACGTCACTGAAGTGGAGCCTCCTGTCCTGCAGGTATAACCTGCCCTTGTCCTCGTCCCAGCGCTACCTCGCACACCTTGTGCTCAGCCATGTAGCCGGGCTCCGCATTGCTCACCGCCGGCACCTTCCAGCCCATGCGTCACCTGCAAACCCGGTCGCTGGTGATGCCACCTCCCTGCTTGCTGGTGCCTCAGTCAAACTGGCAAGTGTCTTCAGGACTCACCAGCACGTCCCTGCCCACAGTACCCTGCCTTCTGCTTTGCTGACCTCCCTCCCTGAGCTGCACACCCCCAGCACCACCCTGGCCCATCCCCAGCACATCCCCTGCCACCAACCAGACACAGTGTGTGTCTCTGCACTAAAACCCTACAAAAAAAAAGGCAAGCTCACACGCTTACCCCTGCCAGGCCAGGCTGGGGCTCAGGTTCACAGCAGCGCAGCTCCTCTCTCACCCTGTGTTTGTGCCCACCAGTCCCCATCTGCTCCTCAGCTGTGCCCGTGCAAGGGGAGGTCCCCGTGCGGGAGAGAAGTCCCTGGGCTCTTCTGCTGAGCAGGGTCCTGTGCTCAAACCCAGGCTGAGTCAGGCTCCTTGCTTGGCTGCAGGGGAGTATGTCAGCCCCTCCGAACCTGCCTGCCCTGAGGCTTTGCTGGCTCACGCAGCGTGGGGGAGAAGCACAAGGGTCTGGTTCGTGCTGTTCAATGGCCTCCTGGGTTGCAAGAGGCTGCACAGCATCTCACGGCATCCAGACACCTCCCCAGGCTGCTGCCGTGGACCCCAGGGTCTCTGAGCATCCCCACTTCTGCAGGCACAGCCCTTCGGCCTCTTCACTGCCCGCTGCTTCTCTCTGCCTGGTCCCCAAAGCTGATCCCTGAGTGGGATGGGCTGTTCTGCACGTCTCCTGCCTGCTCGTCCTTCCCAACATGCCCCATCCCTGGCTTTCGGGCTGGCTGCGGGGGGGATGAGCAGGTCTCCCCCAGCCCCTCAGTCCCACGTTCCCATTCAACCTCCCCACCGACACCATTCTGTGAAAGTCACAGGGGGAAAAAAAAAAACCCAAAAACCAAAACAAAAATTAAAAAAACCCCATATATTGGAGGCTGGAAGCGCCTTGCGCTTTCCGCAGCCAAACACCGCCTGGCAGAGCAGGAGCGAGGAGCCCGGGAGAGGTGGCTCCCTACCTCCTCGCTTCCTCGGCCACGGCTCCGCGGCCGAGCTGGCTCCCCAGCACCTGCCTCCCCCCCACACCCCAGAGCCTGTGAGCCCCGGGGCAGCGTGCAAGGAGTGACAGGTGAGTTGGCAGCAACCCGGCTCCAGCATCTCTCGGCGCTCCTTCAAAACCAAGCCCTTTGCACGCCGTGTTTCTGCCGTGACGAACCGGCAGACATCAAGGAGAAGTAATTTGCTGGGATTCTTCTGGCCAGGCGTGTCATGACGCCCACGCTCCGCTCTCGCCTGTGCGAACGGGAGACACGTGCTCTGATGTTTCCCGACACCCGGCATTGCTGCTGGCTTGTGGTTGATGGGAACACTGGTGGTGGGGGGGGGTTGGGTTGGTTTCTCTCCGAGACCTTGGAGTCCACAGGTGGGTATCAACTCAGGGTTTGCCCTTCCCAGAACACAGGTCATGAGACACCAAACACAAAGGGTTTTTGCAAAGATTATCGAGGCAGCTTGACTCCGGACAGGACAAAACCAGCTCCAAACGGAGCAGAGATGCTCTGCCCTTCCCTCTGTCCCACCACTTTGGAGTATCCTCTGGCTTTAGGCAAGTCCTATCATATACCCAAGCTGTTGATGCTCTGAATCACCAAGTTTGCCTCCTGCTGCCACTCCGGTAGCTGATAGCCTTCCTCAGCAGAGCCAGGATCAAACCCTTTGGTCTGCTTTCCAGGTTTACCTGGTCTGTGCAAATCCCTCTCAGCTTTTAATTGCAGTCTCTGAAGCCAAACCTCTCTATCCCATCTCCTGCATCCCATGCCCCATCTCAGGGCAGAGCTCTGGGTGAGCATTGCGTAGGGGTTGGGAAGGAGGACCTCATGCAGGGCTTGGGGGGCAGGTAGGTTCCCCTGTATCACGGTCCCTTAGCTGGGAAACCGTCCTTGGGGGCTCAGTGTCGGCTGTACCCACTGCAGAGCTGTGCTGGTGGGCCAGGCCCTGGGGACCAGGACATGCCCAGCTCCTGCTGACCTAGCAGGAATTCAACTGGGCAGTGAGCAGGGACAGAGGCCATGTCCCATCCCTGGCACGGAGTGGCTCAGTGCTATGCCCCAGCTGAGGGCTCTTCCACCCAGCTGGTGTCTTGAGGCCATGGGCGAGGGCATGGGCTTCTCCCCGGAGGGTTTTCCAAGGGAAGGATGCTGAGCCAAACTCCTCAAACTGGGCATCTCCCAGCAAGGCAGACAGCAGCCTCTGTTG